GGGGACCCAAGAGGGTCACTTTAGCCGCGCTCCCATTGTCCCGACGTAAAGATCTCAATAGGTAGGCGCTCAAAGCCCGGAGCAATGGCACCGCGTCCGTTACAAATAGGTAGTTTTGTTTCTCTTGTTGTCGCTACACGGAGTCAAACAAAGCCCCGTCTAAGTTTCCTTCCACTCTCTTGTTGGGATCTTTGTGCCTAAAATGCACTTGACAACAAAGCGGGGGGGGGAGGGGGAGAGGAGGGAGAGAAAGATGCCATTTCTTTATCTATACGTTTGTAGATGAAGAAATATATATAGAGAGAAATATATATGTATAAATGGTGCAAACCCTCGGGGTTGCTGATTTTCTCCAGGAACACTTGTCCGCCCCCTTCCCCTGATCTACCCTTCCTCACCCCAAGGAAATGTACGGAATAGTATCTACCGGCCACGTTCCATTTATTATCTTTACCGACCGCATTGTTTTGCTACCTTACTAACCTCCCCCGACTCCCCCTCCACTCCCCCCCAATTCCCGCCCTCCCAGGCTTGCCTGTGCTGCCACACGCAAAGCCAAGATGCGGACCCGAGCGGCAGGAAAGTTGTGGGAAAGAATCCTGTAAACTTAAAAGAAATTATTTGAAGTCAATCTCCCCCCTCCCCTCTGCAAGTTCTCTCTTTCTCTCCCCCTCCCCCTAAGTTTATGGCTTGTTTTAGTTATTGGGAACTAGAAAGGAGGAGACTGGCCTTTTCGAAACGCGTATGTATTATGTTCTCTTGAAAATAAAACCGTGTTTTCTGCGTACCCGAGGTGTAATGTTAAGCTAAACACGTATCTCGGGAGATTAGGGGGGAAAAAAAGGTGGAAAAAAATTTGGAGGGTTTAATTTAAGGCGGCCACCGACTTTTCTTCGCAGCTGGTTTCAGGGATGTGGCTGGTGCGCCCCCTGCTGGTGGATTCGCCTTTCCAAGATTGTTGCTTTTACCTTTAAAAGAAGGTGTGTGGAAATAATTAAAGTAAGAAGAAAAAAAATGAAGGGGATGGAAGATCAAACTAATTACACATAATCTAAACAAAAGAAAAGTTAACATATCATATAAGCAGTGGTACCAAATCATAAGAATCAAATTTAATTTGCTTAACTTAGAAATGTACATACAACCTCGAGATAAGTGGGAGGTTGAACTACAGGGAAAAAATAGGTACAAATTATGAGATTCAACATATGAATGAATTATGATTGTCCAGGAGCCACAAAGGGCAATCTAAGCATTCACTTTATGATTGTGTATGTAGTGGTCGGTGCTTAATAGCATTATTCTGAAAACTTAAAAAAGAAGCTTTTGGATAATTAAGCTTCAAGAAAAAAAGAGGGGTGGGAGTGGCTAATGGTGGTGTATATTTATTAAAATAAATATTAACAATGGATGGTATAGAAGCAAATCTTCTAAACCCATCTCTCTGTTTTTCAAGGGGAGGGGATAGTAATACGTGCAGATTTTTTTCCTTGGGATGATGAATAAAAGCGTTTACACATTCTCAGATGCGTGTGTCAGCCTGAGCTCTATACTAATGCATTTAAGAGGGGAAAGGGGCTGGCTAGGTCTTTTGTTAATTGCCTTTATCGTATAAATAAGCTATGGAAATACATTACAATTGTGTTATCATTGGTTGCGTTTATTTACAGCTTTATTTTAATTAAGCTTGTCGTACTTATCAAGGCAATAAACTAACAGTGGCTGAAGTTTGTGCATAATAATGTGCTATGAAAAGAAGATTAAAGATGGTGATAGCTGAAACAATTTTTTCACATTAATTAAAAAAATTGATCACTGACTACTCAATTTCAACCCAGCCCCAATAATGCCCCTAAATATAATAACTATAAAAATAATCCCAACAGATGACAGAAACAATCCTGTTTAAGGTTTATAATAGATGGCTACAGTTCACCACTGACTACTAGACAATTAAAAAAAAAAAGACTTAGAATAGGGTGCTTCATCCTCCGAGAACTGAAAATGTTGCCATTGGCACCATTTATAAAAATTGGAAGTGCTTAATCTAAAGAGAATGTAACACTTGCCATCATGGGAAGCAAAAAAGAGACACACTTTTAGAGAAATATTGGTAATCAGGAACAAAATGCATACTCCTGGAACATTCGGAATTTATTTGTTCTAATATTGGCTTTAGCCAAAAAGCCTCCATTGCTAAGTGTAACTTAATTTTATTTAATAATCTTTTTTTCCCATTGATTTTTTTCTCCCCTAAACTCTCCCTATGCCTCCTCAAGTATTGTATCTGAAGCCAACAATTTTGTGGAGATAGAGCACTGTAGACTTATTTTTTCTGCTTAGTGGCAAATAGAGGTTTAACTTGCAGTAATTAGGTGAGAACTAGCCAAGCATCTTACTATTATGATGCTTGTTAAAAAACCGCTCCTTTTCTGCATCTGCATTTGAGTGCGTTCCCCTCCTCTCTTAATCTTCTTATGGAAATGAAGGCAAACGGCAGGGAACCTGCAGAGTCTTGGAGAATGTCCTTGTTAACTGGAATTTCTCAGCATTGCTAATTAGCCGAGTTTGACGACCACCAGTATTGGGGGAAAGCTCTGTTTAACCACTCACCAACCATTCCGAGGAAGAGCAGACTCATTTTATTTTGTAATTAAAATCTGAAAAGGGCCCTATTTGACAGTTAGGGCCATGAGAGTCTTATCTCCCCGTGAAATAATTACTGCCTTGATAACTCAATTTTCTGAAAAATGTCAACTGTGGGCTCCAAAAGTTTTAATTTCATTACGTAAGGGGGGGAAAATGAGAGAAAATAGAAGAAAACGTACAGAAAGACTTTTCTAATTCTAGAACTGGTTAAGTATATTAGGAGTCAGATTTGGCCAAATAAGTGTGTGTGTGTGTGTGTGTGTGTGTGTGTGTTTTAACCTTCCTTCCTTTTTGAACATTCCTTCCTATCCTTCCTGGAAGCTCCATGGAAAGTACTCATAGCAGCAGAAGAAACAAACCAGTAATGTGCTGTGTAAGTCCAATAAAACTGAAAAACCAAGTACAGAAACTGCAAAACAAAAAAGTTCTGATTTTTAAGAGCCAAAGATAAAGAGAAAATTCTTAGTGTTTTGGGGAATGGTGCTGAGATTCTATTTACATTTGCCTCCTAATACCAGAGCACCGAGGATTACAGCAGAAGGACACTGATATGAACAAAGGTTTAAAATGTCTCCCTCACCTCTGTAAGTCACAGAAATTCTCAGTCACTCCAAACGGGAGCATTCCATGAGACTTCTAGAATTACCAAAGTTTGATTCATGAAGGCTTAAGAAACAAACACAGATAAATGAAGAAAGTAAAGAAATGCATTAGAGGAATTCTTTCCCCTAAGAAAAATGCAGCAGAATTTCTAAAAATAATCAACAGGAAATATGCATAGATAAGTTAAATATGAAAACTTAGAGCAAAAAAAATTTAAAAATTCAATTGTGCCACAGTCAAAGTGCATTAGTCTAAACTTCCTTTAGCCTATGAAGGATTCCTCACAAGAAATCACAGAGGGGCCACCTGAAATTTTTTTTATAACACCATGTTCAAAACTATAGAAATTCTTTCATCTACATTTCTACCCCTTTTCTTTTCATGTCAAATTTGTCAGATTTTGGGAGTGTGAAGGATTATTGACAGGAACTATAATAAATGTTTCTAGCTGACACAAAGAACAAACACACATTTGTATCTCTTTCTATTTCCGGAGGCATAGACACGCATATGGTGCTTGATAGATCGGTAATTTCAAATTGCTTAATCATATTTTTTTTCTTCCTGTACCTTGTCTTTAATTTCCAGAAGTGGTATTAAGCATAACAAATGAACGAGGGGATAACAAACGCCCGTCTCAATCCAGACCCAATTTCACCAAATCATTTCACTCAAGAGCTGTAAGGACCCTTGAA